CATACGTTAAATAAAATCATACATTCATGTGCATGCATATGTGAATTGACACACACCAACATTTTTCATACTCACATGGATGTATTCGTAAAAACGCATTAATCTGCTTGCATTTACACACATACAAAAGTTTGCAAGCACATACAATCAGACATAGTCAAACACACAGACACAGATCGAAATAGAGACAAAAGGATAAACGTGAACACAGACAATCGGGAAAGGAGGGAGTGAGAGACAGTGTGACAGACGAGGTGTTGTCTCATACCGACATCGAGTGACCAGGTGTTTTATGCGAGTGTGTAGACAGTCGGCTCGACTCGACGGGGAGTTGGGCTCATGTGTGTGTTCGCTCGGTTGCTGTTCGTTTCACCAGCGCGCAGACGATGGCCGACCGGTGTGGGTGTGTCGGACTGGTGGGGCAGGGGGGCAGGGAGGGAGTGAGAAGAGGCGAAATGAGGCGAAGGGATTGTTTGCGATCACCTCACAATTGAGTAGTATCGGCAGTAGTACGTTGAGTAGAAATAAATTGATTCAGCTCAACGTTGGCCAGCCTCACACGGCAGGAGTAAACAGATGAGTTGGTATCTCAACCAGTTGGCCCACATGATGGGAGCACACAGCAAAGTAGGGTGAAAACAAAAATGGTGTGACATTTTTTGTCTACTTATAAGTAGTCTTTTCGCGATTGCAATGTATTTATTATATTTGTTAGGATAATCACCAAATTAGAAGTCGAATTTTTATTCAAAGCCATGAAATGTGTACATTCAATTCTCATCCAGACTTGAGTTGGCCGCAGTTTTCACATCTCAACTGGTCGCATCACTTTGTCCAGCGGAACTCGAACCATGAACCGGATGCGCCACACTTTTACGACTGCCCATTGGTCACAGGGCAGGTGTGCATTTCTAACAAGATGATGCATTTTCGCATAAGATATTTTCTGGTAGGATTGTAGAAATGGTATGATCTCGACACACTGAACATTGTGTCATAAAGTGTCAGGATGAGACGATGTAGCTCGGGTTGCCGATTTGCCGGCGATGTTGATGAGACGAGTTGAGGCGAGGTGGAAAATGCGCTCCGTTTGTGTGTGAATGAGACCTGGTTATGTGAAGTGGGATGTCTTTTGTTTGACCACATGTGCACAATTTGGTAGATGCAAAATTGTGCAAAGCACAAAGTGACCATGCGTGCTCTGCCTTGAAATTGTCATGCTCATTTCCACATGGTATCGTTGATTTGGTACATTTGCAGATTTTTCACACGTACCGTTAATGAGAGGACAAGATAGAGTTTATACTAAATTCAATTCTATCGAAAATCATGGCAAAGTCTGTGAAGGAAAAGTAAAAATGAAATTATCCCATTCACCAGAATGTTGATGTACACATCCAGTAAATGGAATTGGCAGTACTACATGATTGTTAATGAATAATGTCGAAATGAAAATTGTATGCAATAATATCAAGAGTAATTATGCAATAAAATATGGAAGAGAGAGCAAGTAAGAGAAAGAGAGAGAGAGAGAGAGAGTATGAAGATTAGACAAGAAAGAATGGAGAGTAAGAGAAAAGGAGTGAGGGTGAAAGAGAGAAGAGAGAGAGTAGAGTGAAGAATTTATGTAGAGAGAGAAGAGCAAAGTAAGGAAGCAAGGTGCTAAGAAAGAAGAGAGTAGTGGCAAGAGAGAGAGAGCATGTTGACGAAATAGGAAAGAAGAGAGAGAGAGAGAGTATGGAGACGACATAAGAAAGAATGGAGAGTGAGAGAAAGGGAGGGGGGGGTGAAAGAGAGAAGAGAATGTAGAGTGAAGAACTTATGTAGAGTAAGAAGAGCAAAGTAAGGAAGAAAGGGGCTAAGAGAGAAGAAAGTAGTAGCAAGCGAAAGAGAGAGCATGGATATGAAATAGGAAAGAAGAGATAGAGAGAGTATGAAGATGAGATAAGAAAGAATGGAGAGTGAGAGAAAAGGAGTGAGGGTGAAAGAGAGAAGAGAGAGAGTAGAGTGAAGAACTTATTTAGAGTGAGAAGAGCAAAGTAAGGAAGAAAGGTGCTAAGACAGAAGAGAGTAGTGGCAAGAGAGAGAGAGCATGTAGACGAGATAATAAAGAAAGGAGAGTTAGATAAAGGGAGTGAGGGTGAAAGAGAGAAAAGGGAAG